TTAAAATTTAAACTTTCTAAATTTGAATTTTGAACTTGAGAGGTGGGAAAAGATTCAGCATTTAATATTGCACACTACTTTCTGCATGAGAAATTATTAAGCATAATGCCTTAATCCTGGACCCGCCCCGAATCGGATTAGTTGTGAAGCAATGAACCAATTAGAATATTTCCAAAATAAAATAAAATTATTAAGCATATTAATGATAGTTATTATTATGTCTATTGGGCTTAATTATTATACCTATTAGAATTAATTATAAAACAGGAAAAAAGATATGTATAAAATAAATTTAATTTTAATAAAAAATTATTAATTTAACGGAAAAAATATTTAAAATTATAAAAATATAATTTAAAGTAAAGTAAATTAAAATTTTAACTTAAAATAATGATACAAAAATGAAAAAAAATTCGTACAAGAAACTTTTAAAAAAATACTTAAGATAAATATTTTAAATGTATATATATATATATATATATATGTATATAATATAAATTAAAAGAGAAAAAAAATTATTTTTTAAAAGTATGTATAATTAATTCTATTATCATGTTGAATTTTAAATTTTAAAATTAAATATATTAGAAAGAAATTAAACTTTCATTCTTTTGATGTAAGAGTGTAATTAACAAAATTTTCTATGTGGTAAATGATTACCTAGAAGCTATTACTTGAAGAATGTGCATAGACTTCTATGCATGTTTTCTACTACTTTATACTTTCTAGATAGAAAATTATTAAGCCTATTAATAATATTTATTATTATATCTATTGGGTGAGAAAAAATTTAAAATTTATAAAATTTCAAATACAAACGACACAAATCCTTGCAAAAAATAATTATTTATTATTATTTTTTAAATCTGATTGTAATAAATAAAAGTCTATCTCTAAGATAAAATATAAAAACCTAAATGTGACGATAAGAACTTTTTTGTGGATAACTGTAAAAATCTATTGCATGCTGATAGTTAGAGGTGACAAACTTGGCTTAGCCCGAAGGGCCGGCCCACCAACACATTTTTATAGTTAAATTAAAGTTTTATCCTTCTTCTTTTATAATTAAATTCCTAAATTTTTGTAAATACAAATATGTAAAATTCAAAATACTAATTACACAATCCTTGAAAAAAATAATTATTTATATAAAACAGTGATAGTTAAAAGTTGCAAACTGGGCTTGGCCAAAGGGCCTGCACGCCTTGCCTGCCAACACGTTTTAATAATTAAATTAAAATTTCACTCTTCTTTTATAATTAGATTCCTAATTCAGATTTGAATTTTTGTAAATACAAATTTATAAAATTCTAAATACTAACTACACAATTCCTTGCAAAAAATAATTACTTATTATTATTTTGTAAATATAATTGTAATGAATGAAAGTTTATCTCTTAGATAAAATATAAAATCTTAGAAGTAATTATAAGAGCCTTTTTTGTGAATAAATATAAAAACGTTAGTTATAGGTGGCAAACTGGGCTCGGCCCAGAGGGCCGGCCTACCAAACAATTTTATAATTAAATTAAAATTTCACACATCTTCTTTTATAATTAAATTCTTAAATCAGATTTTAATTTTTGTAAATACAAATTTGTAAAATTTCAAATATAAACGACGCAAATCCTTGCAAAAAATAATTATTTATTATTATTTTTTAAATCTGATTGTAATAAACGAAAGTCCATCTCTGAGATAAAATATAAAAACTTAGATGCAAATATTAGAACTTTTTCGTGTGGATAAATATAAAAGTTTATTATATGCTGGTATATAATGCTGACAATTAGAGATTGCAAAGTGGAGTCGGTCCGGAGGACTGACCCGCCTATTTTTTTGTAATTAAATTAAAATTTTGCTCTTCTTCTTTTATATTAAACTTAATAACTCAAAAATTTGCCAACTCTATATGTACAAAAGTTTGAGTTAGGTAGCTAACAATATTGATTTAAATAAAATGCAGAGATATATTTTTATGTTTTGCATTAAATTTTACGAGACAGACAAACAAATTTCTTTTTTTTCCTGTGCATCGCACGAGTTATACTTAATTTTGAAGAAGTTTTTTTTCTTAGGGTGCTAATTTGGAACATTATCTAAGAAAACTAAACGTTCTTAATGAAAAATCGATGTTATTTAAGTTCAACGTAAAAAAAATAATTTGGAGTCATATAATGAGCCAAGATATGAAGTTTCAAGTGTTTGAAGCAGCGAAGCTATTGTCACCTCATTCTTTAAGTCTTTGGTGGACCCAAATGTATGTTGTTGTTTTTTAAAAATTTATCATTGTGGGTTCTTTATATTGTTACAAGTTTTTAGCATGTGTATTGATTTGATGCTATTTAGACACATTTGTTCCAATGTAAGCAAAAAATATGACTCATACATGACCATTTGGTTAATTTGCTTTCAAATCCCTTTCAGACAACGTTTTTTGGGTTCTAAAAAAAATAACCCATTTTTTTACTGAGATTATTACTTCTGAGTGTTAACATATTAGCGTAATTTATTTTATGAGCATTTACATTTTGTATCGTAGGCATAAATATGATGGTGGAAGAGGATGTCCCTGGTAATGCATAAACATAGGAAATCACATGTTTGATATGTGTTAAACTCATCCCTCCAATGATTGCTACAGAATGACACTGAATTAATAGCGTTTTTTTTATTATAGGTACAAGCTGATCTTTTAATTTCATATTTGCTTGGTCTGTTTGTTACCTTGATTTTATTAGTGACTGTTATAGTTAGCAATAAGTTGTATGCATTTTTCTTTTTTTAGCCATCCTCATTTCAACATAGTCTACTATGATGTATTTATTTTTTACATAACTCATCGAGTAGATAATATATTTGATTTGCATAATATTGATCACTCTGGATAGCAGATTTTTGTTTATGGTTGACATTTGCAAAGTTCTGTATCAATGCTGTAATTTTTTCCACTTGAAATATAGAACAAGATAACAACACAGGTTTTTGTAAGTTTAATGTTTGCAGTGCGATTAACCAACCACAGCGGACGATAAATATTTTGTTCTTTTTTCCCCGGGCATCACACGGGTAATTCACTAGTATATATATATATGAGCAAAGGAATGAATTAATATTTAACCATTTTAAGTTTTAACGTTAAGTTTAACAAATTCATGAAAACTTCATATAGTCTTTGAATAAATTTGACTTTGATACGATAAAGAAAGCATTGTAAATTATGACACTTGTCTCTTCCAATAAGATTCAGTTTCCAACTTGTATAAAAACAATTGATAGGGTGTAGTAACAAGGGGAGAATATTTAATATGGTCCAGAACCACTGAATTTTTTGGTACTTTTTCTTATATTATTAATTTTTTTTTATTCCTGTTATTTTTTTTTTTAATTTTACCCTCTTATTTACATTAAGGAACCACCTAAAAAATGGTGGTCCCAGTTCACTCTAAATAATATCGGGGGAATAAACGTATGCTAAATTATTTTATAATAATTACTTATTTATTGTTATAATGGATAGAGTGAAATAAATATCAAAGGATTTTGTTAATAAGTTCTTTAAAGACACTTGTTAAATAAAATTTTAAAATACATTAAAAAAATCCCTTAACATTTATCAATATCAAATAAAAAAGGTTGTCATGAAGTATTATACTTTAATTATAACAATCCCATTTGGCGGCTGACCGCAACATGATGGTTAGGTTCTTGATTCAGATTTGAATAGATGAATAGATTATCTAAAGCTGGAGACCGGAGAGAACCAACGGTCAATCAATTAAAACTATTTTTTTTTTTTTTGAAACTGATCATAATTATATTTTTGAGGCGAATCAGAATCTTCTGGTATCTCTACGGGTTCGACTCTTTGAGCTGCCTATGGGACTAATCCAGAGTTCGGGTGCGAGTCCAAGGATTACGGTACTTATGCCCCTCCCCAGATAGTGTTGGTGAGATTCGAACCGAGGTCCTCTCCCACCACTCAATCCCCATGCTACCAACTGAGCCACCCCACTTCGGTATTAAAACTATTTTCTAAATCAATCTATCCTACTACTTTTTTGTTTTTAATCAATTAAAATATTTTATTTTGGTAAAAAATTAAAACTATTTTTTAACTAGGTTCACGTAAGAATTTTATATATGAATTGTTGTTATTATTATTATTGTTAATTTTTTATTTCAAAGGATACGTGATATGATGCTTTTTATATTAATTTTAAACTTTATCTAATTGTATAAAAAAAAAACTTTATCTGATTTAATTTACTTTAATTTTATGTTAATTTATTAATATATTATATATTTTTAAAAATATATATCCATTTTTTGCAAAATTCAGTAATAGTGACAAAATTGCCACTTTTTTTTTTCTAGTTGACACGCGAATAATACTTTTTACCTTACTGTGAGGTGTCTAAATTCGTTATCAAATATCAATCATAACTAACTTGATTAGTTGACATGGCACATTTCAATTAAGCGTATCAAGTTCCCTACCAGTCATAGAGAATTTAGTTTAGTCAATTTTTTTTTTATAAAATGTGCATGTGTCACAAAATTATTAACAATAAAATGCATTATGAGGTAGCAAATTTGGTATGCTAAAGAAAATGTGTCATGTAGCTTAATCAAATTTGTTATATCTAATAACGAACTTGGATATGTGATAATCTGATAATTATTTGAGAATTTTTTTTTAAAAAAAATATGGCATTTATTCCCAAAATTCAACTATGATTTAACCACAAAAAAAGTTACAAAACGAATAAATTTGACCTTTTAAAACATTTAAAGTTTCTATTAAAAAATTATAATAACGTGTTTTTTTATTATTTATTAAGAAAAAACAAAAAAAGGGGAAATGTATTTAAAAAAAATGAGAGCGCGTGGGGTAACTTGGAAATGTTGCCACCATGACCCCACCTGTTGTCACGAGGAGAAAAAACAGCGTACCAAAACCCCTTCAACAGCTACCGTCTCTTTCCTTCTCCGCCAAACATCCAACAACCTCCAACAACCACTCGCCATCAACACCACCACCACCACCACCACCACAATTAGGGTTCCCATCCCCAAATGGAACCCCAATCGCTCGTTCTTCCACACATGGAAACCGAAGTCGAAGACCCTTGGGACCTTACTTCCCTTCTCGACTTCAATCTAGACGATGAAATTCCTATCTCCTTTGACCTTGACAAAAATTCACAACTTCCTCTTCCCGAATCGTTGGACCTTCCCTCTAACTCTAACCTTCAGCTTCACCTTCCGGAGATTCCGACCAATGATAAGGTCCGAAAGCGCGACCCGAGGCTCGCCTGCTCCAACTTTCTCGCGGGTCGGGTTCCATGTGCCTGCCCCGAGATGGACGCCAAGCTCGAAGAAGAGGAGAATAGTTTGCCAGGAAAGAAACGCGCTCGGTCCGCGCGTGCATCTGCATCTGCACGCTGCCAGGTGCCTGGGTGTGAGGCCGATATCACCGAGCTCAAGGGCTATCACCGGAGGCATAAGGTTTGTTTGCGCTGCGCTAATGCCACTACCGTTCTCCTTCACGGGGAATCCAAGAGATACTGTCAACAGTGTGGAAAGTAAGCTGCCATGAAAATTTTCTGAAACTGATATATGCTTAATTGTTGGTTTTGCGATCGTATTGATGGTTAAACGAGGGTTCATATGTGTATGTCAATTATTGTTTTGATTGACAGGTTTCACGTATTATCGGATTTTGATGAAGGGAAACGCAGCTGTAGAAGAAAATTAGAGTGGCATAACACCCGAAGGCGAAGAAAGCCTGCGAATTCCAGATCTGCTGCTGATCGTGAACGTCAATCTGTTACTCAAAATGATGATTCCAATTATGATGGGGAAGCAAGACAAGGTTTATAATTAAGTTTTAGTGTGCTAAGCCAGTAGTTTCATAAATGTTTTATTTTTTCCCATTGTTTTCATCAGATAGCATTTATAATTTGTTCCGTTGGGTGTTAAAGTTGATCTTTATGGAACAAGAATGCTCACTGGCTGTGTATGCTTCATACAGATAGTTCAAATTTGAGTAGCGGTATAAACGAAAAAGGGGCGTCATCGGATCATGAAGATGAACCGGTTGCCATTCTGTGCTCGGCTCCAGATTCTCAGAATATTAATAATGATGGTGTTGTATCTTTTGTTGCTTCTGGTGAAACACAAGTAAATAGTGGAAAAGATGTTTCCAATATTTCTAATTCTCCCTCATATTGTGACAATAAGAGTGCTTACTCATCTATGGTGGGTTGCCCTACTTGTTTATTATTTTCATATTCATGCAAGAAATCATGGTTGGTGTTTGCTGATTGAAAGTTCACTTATAGTGCCAAACAGGTCGGATTTCTTTTAAGCTTTATGATTGGAATCCTGCTGAATTTCCTAGAAGGCTACGGCACCAAGTAAAAGCATTGCTATTACAGTTTGGTATTTAAATTTAAATAGTGGTAAGGTCTTCTGCTGTCTGTGAGTCAGTAATTGATTAACTAACGGTCTAATGCATTTTCAGATATTCCAATGGTTGGCAAGTATGCCTATAGAGCTGGAGGGATATATCCGTCCTGGGTGTACTATATTGACAATTTTTATAGCAATGCCAAAAATTATGTGGATAAATGTAAGGGTTCAACTTGATGTTCTTTACATTGTATGTGCTAGTGTGATATTTGAAGCGGTGTTTAGACCAAATGCAGGCTTTGAGCAATCCAAGAGTACTCCTCTTGGCAGGATACTCCCCCAATCAACCTATTTCAGATACTCCCTGAATAAAAGAAATATCAATTATTATTTATGCAAATATCTGCATTGCATAAGGCACCTAAAGGGTATTTATAACCCAAAGATAATAAAAGTCCTAGATAAATCATAATTAAATATGAATCCTAATCAAATATAAAGTCTTAGATAAATCCTAATCAATTATTAATTTCCTAAAATTTGAAATCCTGATCAAATAAGAAATCTTAACATGATAATATTTTCCTAAGATTTCTAAAAATAATATAATAAATCCTAAATAACATAGTAATTCATAAATTTGCTTCTCCATACTGTATCAGGCTTTCTTGTTACTGATTAACTCCCCCAGTATTAGCCTATAATGCTCATTGTTATACTCATTCTTGTGGGCTGCTAGTTTTCTAAATTCAGTTGATTGAGATGCTTGTTTGTGCTGTAATTTTTTGTACACTACCTGTTACATAGTCCCTTGTTTTTTCTTTCATAAATTGGCAATTTCGTTCATTAACTTAAAAAAAAGAATTTTTTTTTTTCTCACGGTTTTCAAGTTTTTACTGAATTTGATTGGTTAATCTTTTTCCCCCCACTGTTTCTGACTTCATTTATTCTTCTCTCTTATTGATCAACCAGTTACTCAAAGACCCTCGGTGCTATGTCTGTGATCTTGTTGCTCCTGGAAAGATGCTATCTGGAAGAGGCACCATACTGGTTCATCTGAATGACATGATCTATCAGGTTACAAAAGGTTTGTTGCTGTTCCATTCGTTCACTCTCTCTTTCTCTCTCTCTCTCTCTCTATATATATATATATATATATCTATATATATATATATATATACACACACACACATTTACACACACGCGAGCCTGGAGCAGTGGTAAAGCTGCACCTCTATCACAGAAAGGTCACGGATTCTAATCCAGGAAACTGTCTCTTTGCAAATATGAAAGGGTAAGGCTGCGTACAAGGATTTCCCTCACCCCACCTTTGCTAGTTGGAGTTTAATGGGGAGTGGTTTTTATACACCCACACACACACTTAGAGGTGGCAATTCGGGTCAACACAAACCGATACGAATTTGACACGAACAGGAATACACTCAACATGAACACAAAGCGAATTTGAAATCGGGTTAAAACCTTCAACACGAACACGAACACGACCCGCTTATTTTGCGGGTTGACATGATACAACATGACATAAATAACCTGTCAAATACAAATTGTCACTTATTATGCGGGTTTACATGACACGATAAGACATGAATAACCTGTTTACAACACGACACGACACAAATAACTTATAAGAAAATTAATGTGAGTCAATTCTGGTTCGCGAGTTGACACGCGACACAACATGAATTTTTTCGGGTCAGTTTTTGCCAACCCGAAATCTAATTTTTCGTGTCGTGTTGAAAATTGCCACCCTTACACACACACGCACATATTTCCCTGAATTATTTAAGAGGTTTTTTATTTTTTCTTCTTTGAAGAGTATTTTATACCTTGATCATTGACCTTATGACAATATTAATGACTTTGTAGGGTATTTGTTCCCCATCCTGGAGATATGCATTATGTTTCTATTTTTTTTTGAAAATATTAAACAATCAATTCTTTAATTGTATCTACCTAATTACTAGATGTTCCTATTTTTGAGTTGTAATCTTTAGGTTCTAATTTATGAAGCTTTCAATTTGTTAAAATTCATCAGCACATTTCAATGGTTACAGATGGGACTTCTGTGATGAAAGTCGAGGTAAACATGCAGGCACCAAGGCTTCAGTATGTTCATCCCACTTGCTTTGAGGCTGGCAAACCTATGGAGTTTGTTGCTTGTGGAAGGAACTTGCTGCAGCCTAAGTTTCGGTATGTTATTATCACCTCTTCTAAACATAATTTAAAGTAGTTTCTTGCCAAATATGTTATACAATGACATAAGTGTGTTTTTTATGCATTAGTGCATTGTATATGCTTAAAGCAAAGTTGAGGACCTAAAATTGGGGTAAGCGCTAATTAGCCAAAGGAGAGAGGGTGATGTGGAATGTTGTGGCTGAGTAGAGGGGTTGGAGCATCCTTAGATCTCACTGAACCCAGAGTTTTAGCAATTTTAGTGAAAACCTCCAAAAAAAGAAGCTATTAACTTTGAGATGGACTCAGGGTTCACATATAATTGGGTGTTGGCAAAGAAGTAATGCTTGACATGTATATGCTGTTTTTCTCCTTTGTATTGTTTTATGATTGAATGGGTTTTGGATTCATAATTTCATATTGATTGCGTTATCTTAATATTATCTCTTGCATAAGTTGCGTTGTAACTCGTCCTGGATTAAGGAGACTAGGAGATAATGCTTTCTGCTGTAGGAAGTGATCATACAAGTTAGTTATCATTGGCATCAAGTTTTATACTTCAACAGCACTAAAAAATAAATAAATAGCAACATTGGAAATTGTAACCATTTCTTGCAATTATCTCATCCTTGGTTAAGGAAGAATGCTTTATGCTGTAGGAAGTGATTACACAAGTTTGGTCATCATCGGCATCAAGTTTTCAGCTTTTTTTTTAAAATAAAAATAAAAATTAATAGCAACATTGGAAATTGCATAATCAATAATCAGTATACCTTCTGTGTCTATTTATTTTATTTTGGAATCTAAGTTCCTTTAAAGGGTTATATAGCCCCACGTCTTGGTAAATGCACAGCATAGTTGGTGCTAACTTTTGTTATACTATTTTTTGGTGCCACTTCAATCTCAATTCAGTTCGCAAATCTAATATACTATCAAATTGATCATGCTATATACTTTGTAGGTTTTCTTATATTTCAGTTGATATATGTCATTTTCAAATTCTGGTTCACTTGTGAATGTACATCTGACTGCAATGAGGTGGTCATCATGACAGGCTTCTTGTATCTTTTTCTGGAAAGTATCTGAAGTACGAGTATTGTGTTCCATCTCCACACAACTCAAATGGAGACAATATTTCTTGTGCTTTTGACAATCAGTTATACAAGATATATGTCCCTCATACAGAGGAAAGTCTCTTTGGGCCTGCATTTATTGAGGTAGTCATTTACCTATAGTTTTGTTTCCTTAACTATGTTTTGACCTGGATGTTTTATTTGCTTACTGCTATGCTTCTTTTTTTACTGCTTTGTTTCTTAGCTTATACATTGGGAACACCTGATGTTGACCACAATTACTGCTGGGCCTGTTGAATGTGAATTGTTTTCTTTTATATTCAGTAACTTCTGATACATTAAATTTTGTCTGGATGGCATAATATTTTAACAGTTCGTGCTAGAAAATCATCAAACAAATTACGGAACATAGAAATTTTAATGATCGCAGTTGAATACTTTGAGCTTAAGCACTTTGTATAACTTGCAAATTCCTTTTTATGTTTTCTGCTTGTTCATTTTCTTATAAATAAATTTCAAGGCTTCAGAAAATCATCATAATGCAGCATGCCAAACTGTTTTAGCATATCCTTAGAAGTCACTTCCTGGTACTGAATTCATCGCTGTTATCTTGTTAGTTCTTTTTATTTGAACTGGATCTTATCTGAAGTACATATAATTTATGTAAGGATGCTTTGTGATTAATAACTGCAGTGATCCGGAGAGTTATTGAATTTGGACCTTGGAATCTAGCACTGAATTGTACTAATGCTGTAGTAATCAGACATGTCTTGATGACTAGATAACATCAGACTATGATAAATTGCCAGAACCTTTTGACTCAATGTGATAATGGAGTTTATGCATTTAGAAATTTGATCAAGTTTCAGTTTATACATGGTTTACAGTTTACGGCGATATGGAAGTACATTTTTGAAATTGTTGCCCTTATGCCATTTCATATTTCTTCCCCTTGTGTTTTAACATATTCCTTTCCCTTTCTGTAGGTGGAGAATGAGTCTGGTTTATCAAACTTTATTCCTGTACTCATTGGTGACAAAGAAATTTGTGCTGAAATGAAGATGTTGCAGCAAAAATTAGATGTATCTCTCCTTTCTAAACAATTTCAATCTGCATCTGGTGGTTCAATCTGCAGCTCATGTGAAGCTTTTGCACTTAGACACACATTATCATCAGACTTACTTGTAGATATAGCATGGTTGCTTAAGGACCCTACTTCAGAAAATTTTGACAGAGTGATGACAGATTCACAAATTCAAAGATATTGTTATTTGTTGGACTTTCTAATATGCAATGATTCAACAATCATTTTGGGAAAAATATTACCAAATTTGATAGTCTTGACAGAAAGCATGAAATCAGATATTGTGATTAATAGGACGAGTGATGTTGACATGACACCACTACTGAAATGCATGCATAATGCTAGAGATGCCATGTATCAGAAACATCAGAAAGGTGGAGGTTCCATTTTGCACTCTGAAATGGACGGTGTTAAACTTACTCGGAGCTGCTCCCATGATAATATGTCATCAGTTGTTGCAGTTAACAGTCAGGTTAGGACTATTAATTTTCTCTCTTAGTTTTTTCCGCTCTTGACGATGAAATATGAAAGTTTTAAATTTAAATGCTTTACATTTTACTTTATTGTCATTTTCTTACCATACAAAGGAAAATACAATTGATGCATCCTGTATTTAGGTCAACAATAGATTCCTGTCTCAATCTTAGAAGTTTGGACTCCAAACTGGTGGCAATTGCAATCATATTGTTAGAGCTCTTGATAGTTTAAAATTTTGAGTGAAATTAATAGTATGAAACTTAGCATTTGAAATTTTAGTGTGCAGATTTCATTGGACATTGATGACGATTGAATTTAAAGTTGTATTATTAGAGGGGGAACAATGCTTATAGACAAAAGAAAGTTGTTGACACATTAAATGGGGGAGAATGAGTAAAGAATGAATAAATGGGAAAGAAGAGTAAACCGGTAAAAAAAGAAAGAGAAAGGCAAAGAAAGAAGAGGTGGGGTTACTCATTGAGATGATAGAAGCTATCAATGGTTACCAATTTTGTCATATGCTTTACAAATGAGGCAGAGTTGGATACAAAGAGTCATGTTAATGATTTTTGTATATGAAGTTTACGTCATGGTAATCTCAAAACTATGCTGAATTTATTACATTAAACCTTATAATTAGCCTCAGTTTCTCATCTTTTAGGTGAAGCTTTAAATTTATTTAGCCCGTATACCTATATGTTAGCTCTAGGGTTAATGTTTTGGATTACGCATGACAATTACTGTTAGGGTTACCTTTGACAAAGCCCTTCTTAACGGTATAATATTCCAAATTGGAAGGGTATTTTTATTGAAACTTGAAAAAATTGTAAAGTGGAATTGTGGAAATTATGTATGAAAAATTGAAGTAGGTTTAAAGAATCAATTTAACCCAAAAGTTTAAGTTGTTTGGTGAATGACATGTTAATAATTTTATATTATATCTCTAACCGGAGGAATGAATATTTTTGACTCCATTTCATCTATTAAACTTAATTTTTCCCATGAGCAATAGCTTATGAGGTGGAACTTTCCCCGCCCAAGGTGGAGGAGCAAAGTTCAATTCCCCATTCCCCTAACCCTAGTTGGAACTACAGCTTTTCCAGCTCTAAACAAATCTGTCATGCCTGATGCGCAATAACATTTAAGAGAAATATATTCCTTTAATTCTATTCTAAAACAAAGGCCTTGCAAACAAATAGTGTTGATTACCTCAAGACCAAAACTAATTTTGATTTCAGTTGCAACTTGTGTTACCAATATTCAGCTGATAATTTTGTTGCATTTATGAATGTGTTACTGAATAGATATTAGTCTCCTACCAAACATCTTCTGTCCCTGGACTGTGCATGGCATTTATGTAAATGTGGTGGATTTTGAACTGTGATCCTACAAGTTATATGGGTTGCAGTGTATTGGTTTAGCACTTTCCTTGGCAGTTAAAACTCCAGTTGTATTTTGAATTCGAGTTTTTAAAGGAGAGAATGAATCTGACCTGTCAATTGTCTTGGTTTATTTAATGGATATTGTTCTGCTGTTTTATTGCAAAATATCTGGCCATGATCTTGATTTGATTGAACTCATAGTATGGTTTCATTTACAAAAAATAGAATTTCTTTTAAATGATTTAGTTCTTCTGATGTCAACACCGCAGCTCCCAGCAATTGCTGATTATCTATGTATTTATCTTGCAGTCTGGACATCCCCTGCATGTAACATTGGTTTTGTAACATCTGATAGTTTGTAAGATGTAGTGACACTACACTACTATCGCAGCTAACATGCATTTTCTACTTTGATATTTGTTTTGTAGGGTACCCTGTCGAGAGCAGATTTAAAGTTGCTGACAAGTCCAACTTCAAATGACAAAAATGAAAGGATACCACTTTTGAAGAGGGAGATTATAATGAATGTGGAAGAGTTGCCTAAAAGATGTGACCGTCGATATCTTGCCAGGGGATTCCTTAGCTCTCAACGGCCAGCTATTTTTGTGATTGTTTCGGTTGCTGTTTGTCTTGGGGTATGTGTAGCCGTCCTTCATCATGGGAGGGTAAGTGAGTTAGCAGTATCCATTAGACGGTGCTTGTTTAATTATTAGTAGATGTTTCAAATTTTTGGACTTATTTTCTAGTTGGTACATATTATTTGTAACATTAAATAAACAGATGTTATTAGGATGATTAGTTTATTACATTGGAAGCTTGATCCAAGGTTGCTAATTTGTGCATTACCAATTCAATTGGATGTTCCAAGAGGACCAACAGGTGCTAACATATTTAAAATTTGAAATTCAGATGATGATTATTAAAATTTGGTGTCTACTTCCATAATGGGGATCTTCTCTTGAGAAATGGGTTACGGAACTTACATGGTTATTTTGGGTGGAAGTGTGCCAGATTGGCTGTGAGATTTGGTTGGTTCATTCGTTAGTCAGTTTATTTTTTAGTTTGAGCTTAACTTCTTACTTTTAACTTGCTATCTAAGTTTGATGGACCAGCTCACGTATTATATGAAATACTTTTATTTTATTTTAATTATATTGTTTAACAATATATAACATCATTTAATTATTTTAAAGTAATTTTTTCAAATAATATTTAATAATTATTCTTGTCGTTAATGCTTGTTAAAGTTATTTTTACTTTTATATATAGAATATTGTTTGCTTAATTAATTATGACTTAATTTCTTATGATATTTTCCTTCAAAATTGACAACTATTACTTAACTTTATTTTTCCAAAATTTAATCATGTAAATATTCTTTTAATTATATATAAATATGAGTTTTATGTTTCAAAACTGGTAAAATTATCTTTTATATAATATAAGTGTGTAGAGTTTATATATATATATTTTCATATGATCACATATGGGTCTTATATATTTTTATATGTATGTAAGAGATAAAATATAATTTTATCTTTTGTAATATGAGAAATATTAAATCCTATAAATATATATTAATTAATTTTTTTTTTGATATAAATGGAGGGCCTAGTCCAGAGAAATTATATAGACAGCTGATGCATGTTTAAAGTCACATGCTCTATCAGCAAGTTCGAACAGAAAACATACCAAAGAGGCGAAATGCTAGCAAGGGGGAGAGAAAAACAACATCAACTCTTCACCCCTGTAATTAAATTCAAATTTTGCTAAGCTATCTGCACAAACATTAAATTTCCTAGGAATAAACTCCATATGGATTTGATCAAAAATTTGAGTAGCTTTTTTGATTTTATCAGTTAAAGAAGAAGAGCCACACAAATCAGTTTGAGTCTCTATACAGAGGAGAGCTTCTTTACTATCACATCCAAGCCAAATATTGGAGTACTTCATATCACTAGCCAGCTTGAGTCCTTGAAGGAGGCCCCATAATTCAGCTTCCAAAGGAGAGAAAGAACCTATATTAAGGGAGAATCCACCCAACCATTCTCCATTAGAGGAGCAAACGAAACCACCACAGGCACATGTATTAGAAGTTAAATTTACAGCACCATCAACAAAAAATTTAATTGTATCCTGTACTTTGTGCTGTCCAGTACCACCATAGAGATTAGGGGGATCTGGCATTATCACAAATGGATCAGCAGTGCTATTCTTCTTCATTTCAGCTAGATAACTCAGGATCCTGTAGGTTGGCTCTTGGGGTCTTGAGAACAGCTCATCATGGACAGTAGAGTTCCTCCATTGCCATGAGAACCAGCAAGTTACATAGAAAACTTCTTTCCAAGAATGCCAAAGATTAGTTGAGAATGGTTTATAAAGATTAAGTCTAAACCACTTTAGTCCATCTACAGTCAAGAAATTTCGTGGAATCTTGCCAGCAAACCATCTCTTCCAAATACTCCTTGCACTTTTGCAATCTCTAAGAATGTGAATTATTGTTTCTTGACTTGTGTAACAGATGGGGTAATGGATCTCCCCTCCACTCCAGTGACAAGTAATGCTTCTAACAAGAAGTTTATTCAGACAAGCCATCCATAAGAAGATTGCTATTCTGTAAGGACCTCTCCATTTCCAAAGTGCAGACCAAATTTTGTCTTTCCCCGTACTAGAATCCATAAGCTGACAGTAAGCATTCTTCACCAAAGATTTACTTGGGCTGCTCTTCTTCCAATTAAGCCAGTCATTTGGGCTGCTGGATACTAGAGGGGGATTGTTTATCATTCTAAGGATAACTTCATCAAAGAAATCTGCAAGATAGCTCCAATTTCAGGCACCTGTAATTAGGTCAACTAAATCACACACTTTTAGAACTAGATCAGAATTGGGAGGTTTGGCTGAAGCAAGGTCAAATAATTTGCTTTGCAAACCTCCCTAATAATCTGTCCAGAAAAATGTGGTTTTACCATTACCAATCACCCACTCTAAATGCTGGGACATTTTATCTCTGGCTGTACATATATTCTTCCACAAAATAGAGTCACTCTTTTTTGCAATCAAGCTACGGTTAGGATCCTGATTCCTACCATACTTACCAAACAGAACCTTGACCTATAGGCTATTTTGGTCATTGATAAGCTGCTAAGTAATCTTCTGCATGAAGGCTTCATTCTGTATCCTAAGGTTGATGATACCAAGTCCACCACACTCCCTAGGACGACACAAATGTTCCCAAGCTACATAATGAGCTCTTCTTTTAGAATCTGAATCTCCCCAAATAAAATTGAATTGCAACTTTTCAATGTCTTGACACACATGAACTGGTAGAATATTATTCTGCATATGGTAAACAAGAATGGCTGAGATGACACTTTTAGCTAAAGTGATTCTGCCCGCCAGAGATAAGCATTTGGATTTCCAGCCTTGAAGCCTATTCTGAACTCTAGAAATAACATCAGCATAATGATCTCTCCTTATTCTGCCATGTCTCATTAGAGCTCCCAAATAACATCCAAAATTATTGACTTTTTTGAATCCACTAACAGTAGAAATGGAATCCACAGCCTCTTGAGAAACATTCTTGGACAAATAAATGCATGATTTTTCTATACTCACACATTGACCTGACATCTTTGAGAACTTCTCCAGGAAGTTAGTAATATAATTCAGTTGGCAAAGAGAAGCTTCAACAAAGAGGATGATATCATCCACAAACATTAGATGTGAAATAAGGGGTCCAGATTTGCCAGCTTTGATAGGAAGCCAATTCTTCATCTCCACTTCATCCATGATTAAACGGGTAAGCTTCTCCACACAAAGAACAAAAATGTAAGAAGATATAGGATCCCCTTGTCTTATACCCCGTTGAGAATGAAAACTAGGAGTTCTTGTCCCATTCTAAAGAACCTCTAGATAAGGACTAGCAACACAGCCCATAATGGCATCGACCATATCTCCAAGTAACTTCAGGTCATCTACCACAGTTCTGATAAACTTCCAATTAAGCTTGTCATAAGCTTTCTCTAAATCAATCTTGATAGAGAAGAAACTCTTTTTACCTTTCATCTTATGCATAGAGTGGATAAGCTCTTGAACAATTATGATATTGTCCTGTATATGTCTCTTAGGTACAAAACTGACCTGGTTTGGGGATATGAGGTCCCCAAGGAGAGGTTTTATTTTTTTAGCAAGAATTTTGCTAAGCTCCTTATATACAGAATCACAAAGGGCAATTGGCCTGAACTGCTTCATCAAACCAGGTCTGTCAATTTTAGGAATCAGAGCAATAAGAGTGTGGTTAATTTCTCTAATCTGATCTGGATGATGGAGATAGAATTACATACTGTTGTAGATTTGGGTTTTGAGTAAATCCCAATTCCTATGATAAAACAAGGCTGGAAATCCATCAGGTCCTGGAGCTTTCAGAGGAGGCATTTGATAAAAGGCATTCTTAACTTCCTCAAGAGTGATATTTAAAGACAGCAAACCAAGATGCTCCTCCCTGATTGCTGGCCAAGTATTTCTGGTTTGACTCAAATCTGAATCTACAGAACCTTCCTTAAAAAGGTTCAGGAAAATCCTCTAGCTAGAGCAATTAGCTCCTCCTCTCCATTCACCCAGCGACCATTATCATCTTGGAGCTTTATAATTTTATTTCTTTTCCTACGGATCAGAGTACTAGTATGATAAAATCGTGTGTTTCTGTCACCATCTTTTATCCAGTCACCCCTAGACTTTTGATACCAAATCTGCTTCTCCTGGTCAAGAATTTCTGTAAGCTCCTTTCTCAGCTTAGCTTCCAACTTTTCAAGTTGATAATTATTATTTGTACTGAGTTGCCTTTGAATGCCCTCCATCCGAGCTATCACTCTATTCTTTCTATGATAAGTAAACCCAAAAACATTCTTGTTCCAATCCTTTAACAATAGGATAAAGGAATTCAAACTATCCAGCAAGCTAGATTCAGGATCCCAATTAGCTTTGAGGAAAGAGCTAAATCTGAAATCATTTTGCCAAGTAGCCAAGAATCTAAAAGGCCTCTCCCTCCAACAAGTGTCTTCCTTTTCCATTCTAATGAGGACAGGGCAATGATCCGATAAAAGTTTAGGAAGAATCAAGACATTAGCTTCCTCATAAATGGCTCTCCAATCATCATTTGCTACTGCTTTTTCTAATCTTTTATACACCCTATCTAGGTGGAGGAATTTAGGCCCTTTCCAAGTAAACCTATTGCCACCCCCCAAATCCATAACCCCACAGGCATTCAGGACATTATTAAATCGGTTGCAACGATTAACATCCACAAGCCCTCCTCCTCCTTTCTCAGAAACTGAAGAAATTTTATTAAAATCCCCAGATAACAACCAAGGATCATTCATGTTTCTTCCAATATGCTTCAGTTCTTCCCAAAGCACTCTTTTTTCTTCTTCCTGAGGATTAGCATACACAGCTGTCCAACATAATCCTCTCTTGTCAGGAAACTCAACCCAACAATGGATGAATTGGTCATGCTTCACAAGAAGAGAAATCTTCACATCATTGGGATTCCACACTACCCAAATACCTCCAACAAAACCTTGCGCATCAGCAATTACATAACTAGTAAATCCCAAGCTACGAATAATACTAATGGCTTTATTACCACTAACTCTGGGTTCCAAAATAGCAGCCACTCCAACACTATGTTTTTCGCGAAATCTATTGAAGGTACTCTTGAATTGTTTTTTTGCAGCACCTCTAAAGTTCCAAGTCAGGACATTCAAGAGGGAATTTGGGTCTATTGCAAGATTACAAAGTTCTTTCTACTTATTTCTTGTCTTTCAACTTATGGTTCCTGAATTTCAACATCTCCCTCACCACAAACAGAATCACATATAA